TGCTGTCGCATCCCTCGGGAATTCAAAAAAGTGGGTAAATTCCGGAACTGCGACATAGTATGTTAGTCAGTAGCGGATGCTATTAAGCAGTGTGAAACCCAGTTGGGAGTTTTGTAACAAAATAAATAGGATCAACAAAAAGTACGTTAATTTCGTTACTTGTTTCCAATATTTATAAGGATGCAATATTTATTAATAACGGAATTCATGTGTACCGTCTTGCGTATCATTTATATAACGAAGAAATTTAAATCGTTTGCGATTCCCTCAGCCTAACGTCGGTACCCTGTATCTGGTATCCAGCCCGTTTTCAGTTTCAAGCGTCTAGTTTTCCCGAAACTACCTACCTTTTTTCAGAGGAATTTTTCTAACTCAATTAGCTCATAATAATTTCAGGTACCTCTCCATTCCTTTGCAATGTTAGGCTAATCATAGAATTGAGTTCATGGCGTCGACCCATAATATACAACTGTTTTAGTTATAATAATCACAACATCAATAGTAACGCGTTCAGGGAAAACAAGAATGAACCAGGTCAAACAGGGGACAGAACATTGCATTCGAAGGAAATCACGTCATTTAAAATAAGTGAAATATCTGTTACGGGATAAACTCAGTACATTAGCTTCTTCCTCATATTCCAAACTGATTGTCCATGATTTTCTGGTAAAAATGTGCAGCAATGACTCGGTAGAGATCTACTAGTTCGTTCGATTTTGTTGTTACCGGTACATGTTAAAACCCATTGCTACATTCTTTATAGTCAGTGTCGGTAAGCGTAAGTGTATTTTTAGCTATCATAAATCGTCGTTTGGCTCAGTCTGGTTCTCCTTTGGAAAGCAACAAGCGCGCTATTTAACTCAAGTGTACATTGCAGTAATCGACCCGAAATCCGAGCATTAGCCAAGGCAAACAGCTTCCATTGATCCAGTGCTTCTAAATAAAACATTTCACCAGTAAATTGTAAACAGGCGATTTCTTCTTCGAAAAGACGTTCATCAATAGACACAGTAAGTAAAGTTTTCCTCTGGTGGTTGCATCGTCGGCTGATTCAATGTTGGTTTGAACCCAGCTTTTATGAAAGCGTTAATCAGTACAAGCGGATAGACAGACTCCCAAGATTTCTTTGACAAGATGAATGCCCATGAAGATATCCACCTCGGATATCATGCTAACTTGCTCATCTTCAATCAAAGACAAAACGTACTCCAGTAACTTTTTCCGAAACGAACATTTGAAAGATCAAATCACACCCTTATCCACTGGTTGCAACTTTGGAGAACAGTTAGGAGGCAGCCGTAGTAATTTGACATTGGGAAAATAATGCGGCTTTGTTATGGCAACAGGCGTTTTCTATAAATATTTAAAATAGAGCATCTTTGTAAAACATTTTGCGGTTGATATCGGACAGTCAACTGTGCAATAACGCAAAGTCATCAATGAGTTCTTTAAAGATATATGACTGCATGGAAGGCTTTTTCTATCTATATCTCGGAGATATCGTAGAGTTTGAAATTTTCTAATAACCAACGTTGATAAATTTTCTCCAGTCATGCTCCCACAAAGCAGTAACGTGACTCTTTCTTTGAATTTCATGGATCCAGAAACTGTTTTTCCTTTGAAACTTATTGTTCTTTCTGAGAACTGCCTGTAATACAAGGCTGTTTCATCCGTACTGAAAATATCTCAGTCAGTGTATGCATGGATCAACTGCGGTAACCCCGCTCGAAACTCCTCCGCTGCATCATGTGGTACCGCCAAACGTACCCGACAAATCCACAAAGTAATGCTCATAAGTAATTGTTTATCTATTACCTTGTAGGATTGAATGATACATTTGTCTGACCAAGAGCGAAACCAACTTTTAGAAGCCTTGAAGTCACCATGATGCANAGGTTGCCTCATTGACTGTCCTGAACTTTTTGTTGGTTTTCAGGTGTTATCTCACCTGAGATGCTCCAGCGTTCACAAATTTTCCGATGGGATATAACACCGAATAGTTTTTCTTGAAATACCAAATTATTTGGCTATGATTTGCACCTGGCTGACTCAGCATTTTCAACACGTTCTGATAGATAGGCAATCGCACATTTTGAAGTCAAGTGAGACTGTCTTCAATTGTTGGTATCGGTGTGTCTTCCTCGCAAAGGTTATCCAATCAGTGAACAGTGTCATGTTCTCGTTGCACTAGGTGAAACGCCATTTGTTGAATGCGACATTGCAGATTGGCTGACCAACGACCGTCCCGAACATCGGTCAACTACCAAGTGAGGTAACAGGAACTGCGACATATTGAGGGGTACGACATTGCATTGTCAGAAACTAAGTTATTAAGCATAATGGTTGGTTTGGGTTTTCCAAAGAATGGGAAGATATTGGAAAATGCGACTTCTCAGGGGTGCGACATAGCAGAAGATTGACTGCACGTGTAAATTTAGTTACTGAGATCCTGGAGCAACTGAGCATTTTTGTCAACTTCAGGGTGCACATTGGTTTTCATTGAATTAAATCTGAGACATATTATGGCTCCTTTGTGAGAAAGTACAGTGGACCGACTACAAATCTGGGTTGAAAATATTTGCTGATAACCCGCTTTGATTGGCAAAGCGAAATGCGTGTATTTTTATGTTCACAAGCTGATTACTAACGAGTAGTCCATTATTTGATACAAAAAATATAGACGGTGAACAAAAACGAGCTTCTTCATGTATTTAAAACTGCTGTTTGCGATTCTCCCCTCATTTATAAGTTTTGCCAATTATCAGAACCTTGGGTTAGTTTGATTATGGTAAACAATAACTTCTCACTTTTTGTTACGTATTAATTAATGGAGCAAAGCTCACTATCTTAAACACCACTGTACGATGATGATGGGTGAAGTATTCATTCAAGTAACAGTGAAAATGAAAGATTAACATTAGTGGAGAAAAGAGTTTGTAGTTTTTACAGTAACAGATTTCTCGCAATAAAGAATTTTGGGAGGCTGCTGTACGATAAGCTCTTGGTAAGTGTAGCTTGACGTTTGAAACCTTGACTCTCGAAAAATCGTTAGCCAGTTCTGAAGAGTAAAATCCGAAGTGGTACGGGTATAAAAGGGTCAGAGGATCGTTACCAGGACGACGGCAAATTCTCCAAAGGGCGGGTTTTGGGACGGACTAAAATCGAGAGGCTTGAATTAGCACGAACTGAGGTAAACCGGAATCTCAACTTGGGCAATGCTTCAAATTGGAAGGTATTTGGGCATTATAAAAAGTGAAAGTACCTTACCAGATGTTTACACTGGCAAACGAATTCCATTATTATTGAACTTATGGAGGAGTATTAGAATTATTAAATGCATTGGTCGATCGGTGCAGGTATTATACAGGTGACTTGTCTAATTCCAACTTCGGGTAATCTCACATCTTTGAATCTTTATTTTCTGTCACTCTCGGACTTAGTATGCTCACAGTCCCATAATCTGGCACGGATAGACTCTGCAAAAGTAGTCGTTGCTTGGTAGACAAATCAAATTTAGTTAAACCAATACCTCAGTGAGGTCACCGCTCCTACATTAATTTTCATGTTGTCTGCATGTATAATCACGCCCAAAAATTATAACTCTCTGGTGATGAGCACAGAAATTCTCCCTTGTTCTTTTCGACGCATCGTTGAGGAGAAGCAAGTCAGAGTTGGGTATACAAACTCAAATAAAAACACCGTTAGATGGTGTATTTCATGGATTAATCAGTCCCTGATAATCGCAGTTCCCGTCACGAACAGATCTTCAAGGTCAATGATATTTAATTTAGACTCATGCATAATTAATCACCATATAGGATTAAGGTACACAAATAACATAAGAAATAGGAAGAATACTAATTATTATTTTTATTTTGTTGTATTTTAGACAACACTAAAAAGAATTAGAACTGGTTTGGAGTACACGTTCTCATCAGTGGGCAAGAAAATATAAACCGCATAACTGAGTGCAGAGTATAGCTATTATTAATATTTTTGGATATCAGAGGTCTTGCGCAATAGTCACTCCAATAGAATGACACAGCACTGCGGTGATTGTGCAACGAGTACGCATGCACCACGATAAGGCTTCCAGGTAGCCAATCAGGAGACGGGGTTCCAGACCAATCTTGTGGTCTCAAGTAGAATCAATCGGATTGGCCGAATGCAAGAGAGCGGGCGATAACGTTGTCGGTTGGACATCGAAGAATAGGTCAACGGTTGTTTAGCACTCGTGATATTTATTTGCATGACTTTCTGCGTGGAATTAACTGCATCCCGCAAATCATACTGATTTTACCTAACTCTACGTTATTCAGTGGTATTTCAACCAAAGTCCAAGTTCGCGTTATTAGATTCCTATTACAAATCCGAATAATGCAAAATCGCAAATGTACTACCCATTTGCTTTCTGATTAGCCATTTGCTACTCACCTTTCAACACGCATAATCACACTTGGTAACCATATTCGTTTTATCCAGTGTCATAATTCGTTTGGAAATACTCAAAAACTTACTACTAACTAAGAATGAGTAGGACTTTATCTGGTTAGGTGATAAACAACAAAATTCAAGTAATGATAACGGTCTATTTAATTTACATTTATAAACTACAATATGGATAACTCCATTCTCCACGGCAAACTGTATCATTCAAGACCAATGAGAACGTTATCAAAGTCCCCGGTGGTATCGTATAATTATTACACACCTGAGATCCAAGAAAACGAGCGCAAGATTTATCTTTATTAGAAGACTTAAAGTTGCTTTTGTCACATGCTCGTTTTATGCCCATCACTAAAGCTAGATTAAAAACTCCAAGAGAAACTGTTGCTACGGGATTTTTTCCGTCAAGGACTGAAGGCATACATAACGTTCCCTATATAATGTGTTTTTATTAGTTTTGGACGAATTATTTGCTCTCGTAACTAGGACGCATAATCGATTTTTGTAAAGCCCCAAATATAATGTGTGACTTTTCATTCAGAGTTTCGGTGAATAGGTGAGGTGGAAAATCAAATCGTGCGGATTGTTTTTGTGCTACAAAACCTCCGTAGAAATGTAACTTCGCTAGTCTGTGATTCCAATCAGCTTAGTAACCGACTGTTCGCTTGGTCTACGTCGTTTTGGTGCTTCTAAATTAACACTGATTATGGAGGTTTGCAGACAAGTGAGTTCGTCGTGACCTATATTCTCGACCTGTATACCTTCCGGTCAGAGATATGTTTTCTCTTTTCATGATACCTTTTTATTAGGTCAACTAGGTGTAAATATGCATAAGTTGAAAACGGACGGCTGGTGGTTGGAGGGGGCAGAGGAGTCGCGGAGACGAGTAGTTAACATTTATTCATCTCTAATTGATTTGCATTCAGCATGCAGTTGACTGATCAGGTCGTATCTGGCCAGTTTATTACAGTACACAACTTTATTTACAGCTCTCTAAACTAAACACAGTGGATGGTGTGGTTTGTAGACCACATGCTCAGGTATAGACGACATATTGGACTGAACGAGGAAGACCCAAGTTAGATCGTGTATGAAGCTGAATACTGTCTCTATAGGAACACTTGGTGAACCGGTAGAGGGTGAATAAGTTGTCGCAGATTCCTGGTGAAACGAAAACGTATTCGTTAGTCGAAATCATTTTGATTATCGGAAAAGCGAAATGCGTCATATTCACTAACAAAAGCTCTGCAAGTATACAAGCATACACAGCCACTGTGTAGACTAAAACTTCTCAATGATATTTCTTATTACCGGTGGATGTCAGATCGTGGTAAAGTTTTTTTGGTTTAAATTGACAACCCGTTACGTAATAAATAAAACGAATAATTGTAAACATTTTGTTGAAATATTTGA